CTAACTTAACGCAACGCAACGGCTACTAATTGCTATTTTTTTGAAATTTCACCTACCTAGTCCAATGACTGATAAAATATATTTTTCCCCACAGGACATGCCATTAGGTCTTATGGATGACATCTACGAGTTTTCATCCAAATTCGCTGAGCGTTTGGATGAGGTGGAAGATGTCCTGACAACCAACAGGATCTGGGTGCAGAGGACTAAGGATATCGGTGTCGTCACCGCTCAGGATGCTCTCAATTACGGCTTCAGGTAACCGCCCATTCTGTTAAGTTATTTTTTTGATTGAAATAAAGCTTTGTTCCGCACTAGGATTTTCTCTTGTGTGCATTTACAAATGTACAAGTTCATATATCTATCACTCTCTGGAACAACCATCTGTGGATCATACAAAGAGTTACTCCGACATTTAACTTCAGCATTTTCAGCTCTGCCCACTTACCTTTTGAGGTAAATGGCTGAGACTAAGGCACTAGTTTAGCAATACATGATAAACAAGGTTTCTTTGTTGTGTATACCCAACCGTGGCACTTTTGAAGGTGAAAAACCAGTTCTACCATAAATAACCATTTATTTATTCATAAATTGATTACAATTAATATACTGTAACATTACAGTCATTAAATTCAACCAAGGAGTTTCAAATCCAAATAGACAAAGGGAGAAAATAAATTCTTAATTGACAAATTAATTAATAACAATAAATGTAATTTATTTATCTTCCACATAGGTGTCCTATTACATACATATCTTATAACTACAATAACTAGGTATTGGTTTTTATTTTAACCTTTGTGGGAGACTGGTATCTGCAATACCCCCCAATTTGTACACTGGGTTTATATTAATTTATGATATGGTAATTTCCAAATATGAATATGAAAAATAGATCAAACTTTTATACAGATGAAGAAATTATTAAAAAAATAAAGAAAAAGTATAAAGTTACAAACTATGACATGTTTTAACAGTATATTAATGTTTTTTTTTTATAATATTACATATTAATTCTCCACGGACTCTAGGTCCGTGCCCTTGTCATACAATTTTTTTTTATTGTAATACATCTAGTCAATTTTTATAGAGTAAAGAGGGTACCTAGTTACACACTACAATTAACTGCATCTATAATTATTACCAAAAGTATAAATTACATAATAATTAGGCATTATCTACTTATAAGGCTTCATGAAATTATGTTATATATTAATGTTTTAATTATGCATTTTTACATTGTCTCCAGCGGTGTGATGCTCCGCGGGTCGGGCATCAAATGGGACCTGCGCAAGTCGCAGCCGTACGACGCGTACCATCTGGTAGACTTCGACGTACCTATTGGTACCAACGGGGATTGCTATGACAGGTAAATATAATTCATTTTTTATAACACAGACATTTTTTATGTTTAACGGTTTTAATGAGCTCTATTCTAACTAGCTGTGCCCGCGACTTTGTTCGCGTGGAATAGTGAACAGCTTCTCTCCCGTAGGTGTTAGCGTGATAATATATAGCCTGTATGTTGATCTATCAGTAATATTCATGCAAAATATATGGTAAATCCGTGCAGCACTTTATGAGTTCAATCCGGACATACATACAGACAAAAATTCTAATAACCATATTTTTGATTTTGGTATCGACTGTAGATGACGCCCCAAGCATTCTTTTATTAAAAATCTATTCGATGTACAGTTGTCACTTTCCTACGATTTTATTATATGTATAGATACTAAGCCTTTACGTTTAATATCAATAATGGAGGTAGTTGTGGAAACAATTAGATAATATTGTACGGTCATCAAGATTAAGAGTGTGTACCAAATATCAGATCGATCTGTCGTCAGGAAGAGGGTTGAATTATAATTACTAAATTTGACCCAAACAATCAAACGTGGCAAGCTAAATAAAACTGTTTCAAAATATTTATAACTAGCTTTTACCCGCGGCTTCGCTCGCGTCACAAAAGGATAAAAAGTAGCCTATGTTTCATATACCAATACACACAGCGCCATCTATACCAATACTTTTGTTTTCCCTCGGGAATATCACATTTTTCCGAGATAAAAAGTACCCTATTATTTAATCCGGACTTCTAACTTTACGTCTGCAAAGATTCAAAGCAATCGGTTTAGTAGTTACGGCGTGAAAGCGGAACAAACAAACAAACTCACTTTCCGATTTATAATATTTGTAAGGATAGGGATTTCACATTACAGTCTGTTTTCATCTGTGAATTCTATACTTTTTTATACTTCATAGGTCGGTATATACCTCTACCTACCCCATTTTTAAATAAAACCACTAAATATTCCAGATACCTGTGCCGCGTGGAGGAGATGCGTCAGTCGCTCCGCATCATCGACCAGTGCCTCAACCAGATGCCCCCCGGAGAGGTCAAGACGGACGATGCCAAGCTCACGCCACCCTCGCGCGAGGAGATGAAGGTATTCCTTCAGATTTATGATGATATAATATGTATCTATGTATGTATGAATGAATGAATGAATGTACGTATGTCTTTATTAATGAGAGTGAGTGGAGCCCACTCAACGTCAGTAGACGTCGCGGCAGGCCCAAAAGGAGATGGCGGGACGAACTAGCCATCTACGACAAGGATTGGCCGCAAAAAGCTTTACATAGAGAGGAGTGGAAGGAGAGTAGGGAGGCCTTTGCCCTGCAGTGGGACGATCATGGCTGAAAATAAAATAAATAAATAATGTCTTTATTAAGCGATTTAAAAAAAAGTAGGTTCTCAGTTTATATGACGTATGTATACATGTTTGTATGTTTGCCCGTTATTATCTTGCGATTGGTTGAACCAATTTTGATGGGGTTTTCAGAACAGGGTTTTTTACACTTACGAGAAGGCTTTAGTATATTAATTAACGTATAAAAAAGGGGGGGAGGGAGAGTTGAAGTCGACGTTATTTAACCTAGTTTATGGAATACCTAATTGAAATTATATTTTCTCATTCCAGACGTCAATGGAGGCCCTCATCCACCACTTCAAGTTGTTCACGCAAGGCTACCAGGTGCCCCCAGGGTCCACGTACACGGCTGTAGAGGCTCCAAAGGGAGAGTTCGGGATCTACCTCGTCTCTGATGGAGGATCCAAGCCTTACAGGTAATGAGACACCTTTTTGAAGGTAGCTTTCACGATGGCCGTCTCGACCGGAGTGATAGCACCAACTCACAGGGATACATAACACAGCGTTGCGTCACGCCGTGTTCGTGTGTGCAGTGGAGGTCAATCCTTCCCCCCTCCAATTTCCAATGATCCAATCCCCAATTACTATATCCCCTATATACTTTTTAAAAAAAGAGTAACGAATGGAGTTTCTTGCTCGTTCTTCTCCATTCGAATCTACGTTTTGGAATGAGCACCTAGCTTCACCTAATTTCACTGACGGACTGACTGACAGACTATTATTTATTTTGTATTTGTTGACGTTTCAAAAGTACTAAACTATGGTTTAATTGAAATAAATGCTTTGACTTTGACTTTGACTTTGACTTTATCCCCCCAAAAAACCGACGATGTATTTATAAGTCCTCTAGTATTGCGAGTGTTGAAGGGCGAAGCTAATTGCTTACTATCAGGTGATCCGTCTATAAATAACACGTAATACTTTTTTTTGTCCACAGATGCAAGATCAAGGCGCCCGGCTTCGCTCACCTGGCTGCTCTAGAGAAAGTCGGCAAAAACTCCATGTTAGCAGACATCGTTGCTATCATCGGCACCCTCGACGTGGTCTTCGGAGAAATTGACCGATAAACACCGATTTTTAGTACAAAATGCCGGTTTAATCCGAAAATACCGAATTTCGTAAATGTACCGGAGTTAATAATTTGGTGCTAAGTTCCGGTTATTCGTCATAATCTATACTAATATTATAAAGCTAAAGAGTTTGTTTGTCTGCGCTAAGCTCCTTAAATACTAGTTTAAATTGAATAATTCTTTTCGTGTTGCATAGCCCATTTACTGAGGCAGGCTATTAATAAAACACCAAGCAAATAAACTTTTTCGCATTTATAACATTCGTTGTGATTTACGTTTTAAAATGGTCGTCAAATTTTTTAAATGAACTGTGGGAGTGAGATGCAGACATCTTGTTGTCTCACTCGTACATGTGGACTTTGTAAATAATAAATCATATTTATTTCTGTAAATGGTAATTTAACATCTTTAAATTACTAGATTTCTGCATTACCTATCGGACTACTCTGAGAAGAAGCCGAAACTAACTCGGAGGTCATAATCTCATTATAAAGGCGTTGACGTCCTACGTCTCTTTCTTACAAGATATATTATAATTATGTATTTGTGGACGAATTCAAACTGTTTTTTTTTTTCGAAATCTATGGTTTGTTAATTTACGATTTTCGGTATTTTCCGTAAAAACCGAATTTTAGATAAGAGAAACTTTAATAGTGTAAAATGTCAACGTAGATTCCCATGTACATTTTTTTTTTAATTTTTAAGCAATAAATTATTGTTAAATAATTTTGAACCTTATTTCTCTGTGTGAAAGTGTGTTTTCTTTTGAACCCTGAGTTTAGATGTTTTTGAGAAGCAGGAATTACACATCATTGGAGGCTCATATCCAGCAGTGCAGCATAAAACATGCTACTATTGTAGAATCTCTGATTTTTTTAAAGGAATCCCCAGTTTTTTTTATTTTGTTTGCAGGGGATTGCCTGATGCAAAGTTCATTTTGACAGGTCCAAGCAGTTTGACGTGTGAGATCCTTTACACGCAATTGAAATAAAAAACGCAGATTTTAATGTCATAAATCCATATAACAAATATTCAGATACAGATTTCAATTTATACTAATATTATATGATCTATTTAAAGCCATAATTCAAATTTTAAATATATTTAAATTTCAAAAGTTAACAGTTTTTTAATTTTCGAACGAATTTCTTATCAAACTGATTAGTAAGTTGATTACAATCTCGTTCATTTCGGTTTCGGAACGGAATGCAGTACCGTCAAAAATGGCCTCTATGTTCAGTGTTTTGCTGCGAAAATCCGCGAATTTGGGCCAAAAAGCGGCCTTAACAAAGAATTTACCAGCTCTTTACAATGTAAAGTGAGTGCTTATTGTCGTAAAACATCGATTTCAATTATAATTATGGTGTAATTATGATTTAAACATTATGTAACATTTGAGGTTAAATATAATGTAAACATTACGTAAGTATCGTGCTGTAAATGTAGTAGTTAGAGTGTGTATAGTACTATTCACGGACTAATAAAATAACATAGAATTAAAATCGTCAATTAAATACATTTTACGCGTAACTACATTCGGTGTGAAGTTCAACAAAACACTAAAATATTAATAGGTCAATATCATTAGCCATTTGGTTCCTATTGGAGGCATAGTAAAACAAATGCCTAGTATAACAAATATACAATACAGATTATCCAAATCTTTCGATATTCACTAACCTAACCACTCACATTTTGCTGTACTTGTCGTGTCTGTTAAATCTGTTGAAAATACTAAAATATTATTTTTGATTGTTATTAACTCTTGTAAACTAAATAAACGATTTGTATTAAATCGATTAACAAGTTCAAAACTGTTGTCAATTTCCTATAATTTGACTGTACAGTAGGGGCGGTGACTGGGCAACTGGCTGCCGCGCAGCAAAGTGTAGCGGGTGATTCACAATTGTTCCGGGTCTGGGTGTAATGTGTATGTGTACTTGTATGTTTGTGAACGCACCCACTACACAGGAGAAAATCCTATTCTGGGGCCATGTTTTATTAAAAAAAAAGACTATTATGCAAAGTTTATTAGTGTCTTCTTGATAGAAGAAATCTTCATCCACCATAAGGGCAGCAGAATGGCTTATCTTCTCTTCTACAATATATAGGCAGGCAGAGACCATGGAACACCAATTACTATGATTCCTATATAACTCTTTCGCTTCATCAACCTTTTCATGCATACTCATCGGTTAAGGGTATTTTTACAATATACTTATATAAAAATTAATTACCGACTGGAACTGCCTCATTGGCCGTGTCGTTGCAAGTGTGACTGCCGGGCAAGGGGTCTCGGGTTCGATTCCCAGGACGAGCAAAGTATCTGGGTTTTAACAAAAATCTTAGTAGTAGCACTGAGACTGGAAATGTGCCCCGTATATGGCAATAGCCTATTATTACCATTAATTGAACCCTGCTAAGCAGAAAAGATCCAGCCCACATTCTATTACTTTTGAGTAAATGAAGTTTAATGTTGGGCTGATAATAAAAAATCATATGATACAGTACCTATTGAATTTAATGTAATGAAAATTATTGAATGTAATGATCTTCATTACAATTTTTTTTTAAACATTACAATAAAATTACTCAAAAGTAATAAAATGTGGGCTGGATCTTTTCCGCTTAACAGTGTCCAATTATATTACATGGGACTCGTAAGTGGGTGTTACATTGTAAGGTACAGTGGCATTAAGTGCCACAATGTGTACCTCTGGCTACCCCGGGAAATAAGGTGTGATGTTATGTATGAATTTCTGAATGTGTTCCTAAGCACATATCTCAAAAACAGCTGAACTGATTTTGCTAATTCTATTTTTGTTATCCTTGTTGATGGTAGAGATTATTATGTAAGAAATGTAAGAAAAAAATCTAAGGTGGAACTAAGTCCGCAGGCCCCACTAGTATCATATAAATAATAATTACTTTTATTTTAGCAGCCAGCGTAATGCGCACAGATGGATGCCAGATGCGGAGTACGTGAAGCAGTTCGAGGGGGCCGTCATGTACCCTGACGATGTCACCTCGCTGCTGAAACATCCACCTTACCATGGTGATTGGTTAGCTTTACAAATAAATGTTATTAATTTTAATTAGATGCTTGATTGGTGTCGGTATGTTGTATCAAACTGCTGTATATTATTGTGAATCGATTGATCAATCTTAAAAGCCCTCAAGGGTTATGCAGTACCTATGTACCCCATGCTTTTAATGTGTTGTGTTGTCCTCTGTAATGAAAGTGAGTTTGTTTGTTTGTTTGTTCCGCTTTCACGCCATAACTACTAAACCAATTGCTTTGAATTTTTGCAGACATAAAGTTAGAAGTCTGGATAAAATAATAGGGTACTTTTTATCCCCAAAAAATTTGATATTCTCGAGGGAAAATGAAATTATTGGTATAGATGGCGCTATGTGTATTGGTATATGCCACATAGGCTTTTTATCCTTTTGTGACGCTAGCGAAGCCGCGGGTAATAGCTAGTGATAAATAAATGAAAGCAAAATTTGATGAAAAATTACCTACAAACTACAAAACATTGAGTAATAATGAAGCGTTTTGTCCATTGTTTTATTATACTTTTAAATCGTAATATAAAAATTATATTTTTAAATTACCTTGTTACAACCATATTATATAATTGTTACTCCTGTTTTTAGTTTATTATTATACTTTATATTTATGTGCTATCATTTGTGCGTTAAAAATGCTTTATTTCTTTTTATGTTTTTAAAGTGCTTGTTTTCAGACTAAGTAATTGAAATTAATGGTAATGAATGCTTTTCTAAATTAATTATTATTCGGTATTCATCAGGATTGAAAAAGAAGAAACATTGTTGCACACATTTTTTTATTGCGCTTATAGTTTTTTAATTATTTCACAAAAACATTTCCTGCTGGGGTTACGTTACCCCAGCCAGACCTTTTTCTTTCTAATGGGAAAATTTAAATAATTAGTAGCTGTAAATTAGTTGTCTAGGAAGTAAATGTTGTGCCTTATTTTGTATATGTTCTTTCATCGGTTGCGAAGTTATTCAAGATTTTGCTGGGGTAACGTTTTTGGTTTTGCTAGATCATAGAAATGGTTAAGTCCACTTATGGTATGTACAAAATATGTTAAGAATCCATTCTTAACATATTTTCTACATACCTTCTTATGAGTTAGTTTAAGTGTTCTGCAATAAAAAAATCAAAATAAACATAGCTTAAAGGTTATTTAATTAAATACAAAAACACTTGAATTGATCCCAGCAATCTCAGTAAGAGGTCTAGAGATTTACTTTAAACGTTATTTTAAAGCTTGTAACTGCCTTCAAATATATGTGAAGTTTCATTAGTATCCTGTAAGGATTTAACAAGTTATGATGATATTGAGTTGTTCACGAGCACGTTACCCCAGCAAGAAATGTATTTGTGAAATACTTAAAAAACTATAAGCGCAACAAATTTAAAAATGTGCGCTACAATTACAGAAACCTCAAAACTTATTATATATAAGATTAAAATTATAATTTTCGACAACATCTAGCCTGGGTAACGAACACGCCCCTGGGCCCTGAAAGAAGCAACCATGTTAACGTTAGGGTGATGATGATGATAAAGAAACTCCCGGGAATTCTAGTATTCTTATACAAGATTACCTTCACTTCGATAAACCAGAATCTTTACAAACTGCTATCTCCATCCCGTCTGCCCAACCTGGGCTTTTACTCTTGAAACCAATGTCAATGTCAATCCAATAAAATCTCAATAATTATTCAATGTCAAAACTATACAAACCCTATCGTATCTGTTACAATAGCATTCAGAGTACGGAATATCAAGCCAAACTCAATACCATTTAGTTCATTCAATATACACGCAATATGGATGCAATGGGCGCTAGTGTTCTGTCTGTGCAACTGAAGAGTACGAAATTTGTACGGGCCTGCGAACGGCAAGCAAAGGTAGTACGCCGCCCGACCAGAACCAGACCCGTGCGTACGGCACTTCGCGTTCCGCGCGCGCCTCAAAGAGCCATCAGACCACAGATGGTGCTCAATAGTGCTCATGTCCGATACGGCGGCTCCGTATAGGCCTAACGGATTGCCAAGGCTCGGACTCAAAGAAAAGGAGTGGGAACGAGGTGGTTTTTAGTCAGTAAGAGTGTGGACTGTCATAGACTATTAATGTTCTCTTGGCACAGGTGTGGTGGCTCCCGGAGAGAAGCAAGTGAAGAATATGGTCCTCAATTTCGGACCTCAACATCCGGCTGCTCACGGAGTATTGCGATTGGTGCTTGAGCTCGACGGGGAGGTTGGTTATATTATTTTATTACGAACTACATTACATTACAATATGGTAGTTATGGTAGTCAAATATATTGTAGGTCAAGATCATTTATTTTTTGACTAAAGAAACTATAATTTTATTATATGGTGTACCATTCAGAAATCTAAGGCCTTGAATTACCAGGAATGGCCAGAGATAAAAACTGTATGAACCGACTTTTTTCGTTTTTTTATAAAACCGACTACAATCCGCTCTTTTTTTTGCTGTTAATTGACATACTAAAATCTTCTTCTAAGACTCCATTTCTCTGAAAACCGCATCAAAATAGGTTCAGCTGATCACGAGATAATGGCGCACAAACATGCATACATGCAGGTCAAACTGTGATGAAAACATTATTTTTTTGGAATCGGTTTAAAAACGAAAGACATTACATGGTCATTTAACAGTCAATCATGATTAAGGGCCCCGGTATGACTCGAAACTAATCGACCTACCCCGAAATGTATTATAATTTCAAACACAATTCCCAGACGGTCCGCGCAGCAGACCCTCATATCGGTCTCCTTCACCGGGGCACAGAGAAGCTGATAGAATACAAGACGTACACCCAGGCGCTGCCTTACTTCGACCGACTGGACTATGTGTCGATGATGTGCAATGAACAATGCTACAGCTTGGCCGTTGAGAAGTTGCTCAACATTGATATACCGCTGAGAGCCAAATATATTCGAAGTAAGTACCTATCAATCACCCTATTTAAGACAAAAAGCGTACGGTTTTCAATCATAATTTGTATTTTATATTAAATCTTTCGTAAGACATACTAAATTAATTATTATGTTTTCCAAATGATAAATTATTGTTTTCGGCTTGCTCAAGTACCTGTTTGATGAGTAACCCGACTAGTCGTCGCGTCGCGTGTCGCAGAATGCTGCTTATGAATATGAGCCTCCAGCATGGGTTGAAACTAGTCGAGTTCTTCGTCAAACAGGTACTTGAGTAAGCCGAAAACAATAATTTATCATTTGGTATCTGTAAAACCTACTGTCCACGTAACCGCTTGTCATGCATACGTTTTTGTCAATTGATGAAATCATGACGATTGGAAAACGAATGCCTGTATCGTGCGTAGAAATAATCAAAACCACAATGTGTCTTTTACAAGTTATATATTCCTTCTAAGATTGCCTAGACACCACTGACAAACGGTGAAGAAAAACATCGTGAGGAATCCTGGTGTTATAATGTCTAATTATACGTTTCAAATCGCCAACCCGCATTGAGCAAGAGTGGCGATTAATGCTTAAACCTTCTCCGTGTAAGAAGTGGCCTTAAGTCAGCAGTGGCCACTTGTAGGCTGTTGAAGATGATGAATCTTGTCTATATTTTTCAGCTCTCTTCGCTGAAATAACCCGTATTTTAAACCACATCATGGCAGTTTGTTGCCATGCTCTTGACGTGGGTGCTCTCACTCCGTTGTTCTGGATGTTCGAGGAGCGAGAGAAGATGATGGAGTTCTATGAAAGAGTCAGCGGAGCCAGGATGCACGCTGCTTATATCAGACCGGGAGGAGTTTCGCTTGTAAGTATATAAATGTGAAATTCTGTCCGTATGTTTGCTAACTAAATTTCGTCAAAACGGCTGAATGGATCGGGGTGGTATTTGTGAAACAGGGACGGCCTACTGCAAGTCTGTTGTACTGCAGTATAAGCATGTGGTATTCGCAATATGCTGGATAAGCATGCCGAAGAAGATTATGGTCTGGAATAAGACATAAATAAAAAAAAAATAAAAAATGCCTTTGTGGGTGATTTAAATGACGTCAAACCGTTGGTTTTAAGCGTTTATTGTATCCCACAATCACAAGCTTTACAGTAGATAATAGTACAGGCAGATAGTAGAAGTAGATGCAAATAAAGAAATAAAAGTAGATACGAATAGAAGAGATTCGCGAAACTAATGAAATATATGCGGTATTAGCGGCTAGGCGGGAGATAATTTGAGCGTGCATTCGCCGTCGTAGTTATCTCGGCACTGCTGCCTGCGACCGAGCGATAGCGGGTCGGCAGCGCGCGACGTCGGGGACGTGCGCGGGAGCAGGCGGCGGGGCAAGCAACCGATGCGCTTGATTAGAGTGCACCCCTTTATGCGACTAATGTATGTGCGTCCTTTGATTTCGGCGTTGCTACACCTTTTATTTCCTTTAGAAAAACAATGTCAATTTTTGTTAGTACAAAAAGAGATAACGCTTATTAATTGTATGAGTTAGTATATGTAATCTTTTATTTACAAATAATATAAACTTAAATAAAATAAATACTAACTATTACTAAATATATACAATTTAGGATAAAAATTAAATAAAATATTATTTACACAAAGCATCGAAAAATTCGTCCGCTTCGACTTCAGTAGGGCTTTCCCTATAGAGTACTTTTACCCAGAAGGCTGGGCAGCATTGCCACGTGTGCGTTACCCAGGCCAGATGTTGTCGATAATGGTAATTTGAATCTTATAGATAATTATCTATAAGATTATATATATTATATATTATATCTGGGGTTTTTAAATTATTTCACAAAAACATCTCCTGCTGGGGTAACGTTACCCCAGCCAGACCTTTTTCTTTCTAATAAGGACAACTAATTTTATAGCTAGTAATTATTTAAATATTCCCATTAGAAATAAAACGGTGTTGCTGGGGTAACGTTACCCCAGCAGGAAATGTTTTTGTAAGATAATTAAAAATCTATATAAGATTCAAATTACCATTTTTGACAACACCTGGATAACGCACACCATTGCCACGCCAAAGACCAGCCATCAGAGGGTATGAATTACTAGTTTTTTTGGTTTACAAATTTAAGTTCAAATCTTTGCTTAAATAATATTTATATAATAAAAAGTTATTCTGTAGGAACACCTCTGCAGGTTAAGGCCTCCTCCAAATCAAGCCATTCTTCTCTAGATTGAGCCACCTGTAATCAGTTAAGTTCTGCTGTTTGTTTTATTTCGTCTTCCCATCTGTTATATGGTCTTCTTTTTTTGTCTCTATTGGCTCCGGAATATTTAGTAATAAAAATTATTTTTTTTTATTCGTATAAATTATATCAAATTGCTAGTATTGATTATTGTTTGTCATTTTTGTATTAAAACTATATATTCCCTTGCTGTGCCTGACAGGGTCTACAATGATCTGTATTATTCTATGTTACCACCTAAGTCAAATATTGTGGAACTCTATAAAGTTTTTGTATTTAAATAAAACATAGGCTACTTTATATCCCACAGGAGCGCTTGCGAAATCGCTGACAGGAGTTAGCATTGCAGTATAAATTAGTATAGATTTTATTCAACCATCATAACATCATCTTTTTTGCTCTAGGACATGCCATTAGGTCTTATGGATGACATCTACGAGTTTTCATCCAAATTCGCGGAGCGTTTGGATGAGGTGGAAGATGTCCTGACAACCAACAGGATCTGGGTGCAGAGGACTAAGGATATCGGTGTCGTCACCGCTCAAGATGCTCTCAATTACGGTTTCAGGTAACCGTCCATCATTTTCTAGACCTTAGATATTTTGTTAAGTAAAAGATTATAAATAGGTGTTCTTTCTATGCAGACATTTTTGGAACTATTAATATTTTATAATTTCAATTCTTAAGTCTACAACTTCAAACAAGCAATTCAATATTAATGTGCAATACCAACTGTGAGAAAATTACTTTCGGGTATCATAAGGCATGATATTAAATGTATATAATTTATTAGCTTCTCCCCGCGACTTTGTACGCGCCGTCCCATTTTTCCCGTTCCCGTAAGATTTACGAAAACCCTCCTATATTCTGGAATCTCCTCGAATCTCCTGGTAAGCTACTTTCCTATCAATTTTCAGCGAAATCTATGCAGCCATTCTTGAGTTACAAATAGTGTAACTTGTGTGACTCCAGGGATTTCCCAAAAATCCATTCTCGTAGACAAAAAATGAGAATACGAACGAAGTTGCGGGCAGAAGCTAGTCACGTAGTCACTGCATAGTATAAAACAAATTCGCTTTCTGCCGTCTGTGTGTCTGTACCTCTATGTATAAGTGTTTAAAATAACACAACAGATTTTGATAATAATAATAATAATATATGCTTTATTGTACACCACACAATCACATTATAGGATAAATATTAACAAAAATAGTGCACAATGGGCGGTCTTATCGCACAAGGCGATTTCTTACAGACAACCTTTGGATGGAGCAGTAATAGGAGTCTGATATGGGTCGTCAAGTGTACAATAATTAATAGCTTTATAAAGTACTATACATATAATACAAAAATACAACTACAACTCAAGAAAAAAATAAAATAAAATAAATAAATATAAAAATTAAATAATATACAATATACAATATGATACATAAATTACATAATGGTGTGTATTTGTGCATGTGTGTGTATGTGTGTGTGTGATTAAGATAGGACATAAAACAGATTTTGATGTGGTTTTTTAATAGACAGTGATTTAAGAGAAACGTTTATACATATACTAGCTTCTATCCGCGACTTCGTACGCGCAATCCCGTTTTTCCCATACCCGCTCGTGATTTTCGGTAAATAGTAAAAAAAAACACTAGATAAAAAGTATCCTATGTCGGTGTCCTGGTTCTAAGCTACCTCCCCACCAATTTTCATGTAAATCGATTCTGCCGTTCTTGAGTTATAAATAGTGTAACTAACAATTACTTTCTGTAATTAACTGGTCCGGGGCACGAAATTTCTTCACTATTGTAATCTGTAAACATAACACTACCTCCCATTAAAGCCGTGGCAATTAATTATAGAACACCTTATATATTGATTAATTATCTTATACTTATTTTATAAAGCTGAAGTGGTTGTTTAGCTGTTTGAACGCCCTAATCTAAGGAACTACTGGTTCAATTTGAAAAAATCGTTTTGTGTTGGATAGTGCGTTTATCGAGGAGATTTATGCATTTATAGAGAAAGAAATGATCGCATCGAAGTATCTAATGCATGTTAACTCTTAACTTAACACGAGAAAACTAGTAACTAATATAATTTTACATTATCTCCAGCGGTGTGATGCTCCGCGGGTCGGGCATCAAATGGGACCTGCGCAAGTCGCAGCCGTACGACGCGTACCATCTGGTAGACTTCGATGTACCTATTGGTAGCAACGGGGACTGTTATGACAGGTAAACACTTCATTATTTTATTGTTTCTACTGATTTCACGGCATGACATGTATTACACGAGTTAGGATATGAATAGTATAAAAAAAGTCAAAAATCATAATATATTTAATTCGACCAGATAGGCACTTATGGTCGTCAACAAAAAATTAAAAGTGAAGCTATTTGCTCATTCCAAGGCGTAGATTCCTATGGAGAAGAATGAGCAAGAAACTCCATAAGTTACTCATTTTCAATCAGGTTCATATTAAAATTCTCCAGTTACATAGCTTTGTTGTTTGTATTGTGCGAGAACAAAACAATAAAATCCAGTCAAAGAGATTGAAAAAGAGAAAGAAAATATATTCATCAGTATCTTCATAAAGACGGTGCGGATGGTGCGGTGGCTAGGCAACCGGCTGCCGCGCAAAATAATTATAAGTCATCTGTTTCGAGTAAAATAAAACAGGGCTGTGTTATGGCGCCCACACTATTTGCCATTTACTTTTCGGTGGTTGTAAGGGGCGCCCTGTTGTGCGTTACCCAGGCCAGATGTTCTCGAAAATGGTCATTTGAATCTTATAGATAATTAGTTTTGCGGCTTCTGTAATTGTACGCACATCTTTAAATTTGTTGCGTACATTTTTAAATTTGTTGCGCTTATAGTTTTTTAATTATTTTACAAAAACATTTCCTGCTGGGATAACGTTACCCCAGCCAGACCTTTTTCTTTCTAATGGGAATATTTCAATAATTACTAGCTATAAAATTAGTTGTCTAGAAGAAGTAAATGTTGTGCCTTATTTTGTATTTGTTCTTTTATTGGTTGCGAAGTTATTCAAGATTTTGCTGGGGTAACGGTTTTGGTTTTGATAGATCTTTGAAATGGTTAAGCGGATTTTTATCATATTTTGTACATAGCTTCTTAGGAATTAGTTTAAATTTGTTCTGCAATAAAAAACCAAAATAATACATAGCTTGAAGAGCTCTAGAGACTTACTTTAAACGTTAGTTTAAAGCTTGTAACTGTCTTCAAATGTATGTGAAGTTTCATTAGTATCATGTAAATATTTAACAAGTTATGATGATATTGAGTTCGTCACGAGCACGGTCTTGATGCGCGCGGTTTATGTTGAGCCGATAATTTTATAGCTAGTAATTATTTAAATATTCCCATTAGAAATAAAATAGTCTGGCTGGGGTAGCGTTACCCCAGCAGGAAATGTTTTTGTGAAATAATTAAAAAAATATAAGCGCAACAAATTTAAAAATGTGCGCAACAATTACAGAAGCCGCAAAACTAATTATCTATAAGAATCAAATGACCATTTTCGAGAACATCTGGCCTGGGTACACACTAATAGACACGTATTTTTAAATTTGCACGCTACCTTAAATAGGATCCGAGTGCGGGAGTACCTAACTTGTTTTCATTTCATTTCATTTATTTATTCATGAACAATTATTACATTGTGTTTGAATTTGTACAATACACCTATATTCTAAAAATTATACATGCAATAATTAGCCATTACAATTAATAAAGTTAAATGTCATTCCCTGTACTTGTCAATTCATAATTAATTATAACAAAAATAAAACAATAATACACAATATATAATAAAATATAGTCATGTCATCCATAAAATACCAAAAAAATCACACAACAACAATTCTAATAAATTAAGTTATAATTCGTCAACATGATAAAGACACTTATTTAACAAGAACTGTCTAAGCTTATTCCGAAACTCGCCTTTATAAATAAGACCTTTTATTTCCGTCGGCAGTTTATTAAACAGCTTTAACGACTTGTGGTAGGAACTATGCTTTGCAACGTTCAGGTGAGTCACTTGCTTCAACTGAAGATCTTTCCTTCTTGTACTCTCCCTTCTTTGTCTTTCATCCTCAGTCTCATATTCAAAGATGTACCTAGACAAATGAGTAAGCAGGACCAAAATGTATAAACTTGGGACTGTCAGTATATTCAATTCATTGAAATGAGGCTTACATGATTCTTGCTGCTGTATTCCAACCATAGTCCTGACTGCTCTTTTTTGTATTACAAATGCTTTCTGTATATTGTAGTCATAGCTTCCACCCCAGAAAAGTATGCTGTATCTTAGCCTTGACTCCACCAATGCGTAATACACCATTTTTAAATATTTCATTGTCACATCGTTTCTGAGACTTCTAAGCACGTAACAGGCAGGGCTAATCACTTTCTCAAGGTATTTTAGCTCCTCCTTCCACCTCAACTGGCTATCAATATAAACTCCCAGAAACTTAACCACCTCTACCACGTTTACTTTTTCTCCATTAATGGCACAGTTAATGCTATCCTTATTTTTGGAAGTAGATCGAAACAGCATGACATTAGTTTTACTGGCATTAATTTTGAGACCGTTGACAGCAAACCAACTGTGGAAGATATCTAAGACTTGATTAACAATGCAATCAAGAGTGCGTATACTGTCAGCCGAAACAACAGCGTTAGTATCATCGGCAAACACCACAAGCTGTATAGATCCTGCAGCATTCTCCATCATATGTTGTATCAGGTCATCAACAAACACGATAAAGAATATCGGACCCAGTATGGAGCCCTGTGGTACGCCAGTGTGCACAGGTGACAGTTTAGATCTGTATGTTTCTTCAGTTAGACAGTTATTGCCTGAGGAATTTGTCCCTAAAATCTCTGCTTTGATCTCTACGAACATCTTCCTGTTCTTTAAGTATGATGAAAGAAGAGCCAGCACCTTACCCCTGACACCGTAGTGTTCAAGTTTTTCTAGCAATAGTTTATGATCCACTGTATCAAATGCTGAACTTAAATCTAAGAAAAGCCCAGCTACTTTCTGTTTATTATCTAATCTACTCACTACGTCCTTAATCAGAGTCGATATTGCGTCTTGTGTCCCGACGTTTTTCTGATAACCAAATTGTTTTCTATTTATCACCCCATTTTGGTAGAAATGTTTAAGTAATCTAGACTTAATTAGCTTTTCAAAAATTTTTGAGTGAGTAGGTAGTAATGAGATTGGTCTGTACATCTTTGGATCCGCTTTAGAACCTTTTTTGTGTACAGGTATTATTTTGGCTATCTTCAGTTGATCTGGAAAAATTCCTTCATCAAAACATTTGTTGTAAAAAATGCTTAAAGGTACCGCCAGTATATCTATATTATCCTTTATTACTGATTTTCATAATCCTCTTCTATTATTCCAGATACCTGTGCCGCGTAGAGGAGATGCGTCAGTCGCTCCGCATCATTGACCAGTGCCTCAACCAGATGCCCCCCGGGGAGGTCAAGACGGACGATGCCAAGCTCATGCCACCCTCGCGCGAGGAGATGAAGGTATGCCTTGCATACTCTAGTAATTATACAATAATAACTTAACACGCCTTTTATTCCCGAAGGGGTAGGCAGAGGCTCACATTACAATGTAACACCCACTTTTCCCACTTTTCCACTTTTTATGAGTCCCATGTAATAGGGGGTAAGCCTATTGCCATATACCAGACACAATTCCAGACTCCGTGCTATCACTGACATTTTAAAAAACCCAGTAGTAAGTACTACTGGGTTTTTTAAAATAAAGGCAAAGTTGCCTGACCCGGGAATCGAACCCGAGACCCCTTGCCCGGTTGTCACTTGCGACCAGGCAGTCATTATATAATAAATACATTTAGATTAAAGTTGTCTAAATGGCCTCTGCGTAGTTGGGTTCGGCCGGCTCAAATGACCGGGACCCTGTGGTCCCGTGAATGATAAAGACATACATATGAATAATAGAATATTTATTTCCTTGAAATATGGTTTAAATAGGTGTCACAAAAAATATGGGTAAAGTACAAAATGTTTTATTAGTATTTCTGTAGCGTGCAAAATCAAGAAAAGTTAAAAAATTACCATCCTAGGCGTGAGGTTAATTTCCTCTGCATGAAATCACTTACAGAACAATAGTTTTGTTCATTAAGCTATTTGTGCAATTTACGCTTAAATACATTTATATTCGGACATTTTAAATCATTCAGTATATTATTATAGATACGGCTACATATAGCCAAGCAATTCTTATTTTCTTTGACTGGATTTTAGTGTTACATTGTGCTCACACAACCGAATCAATAAAACTATATAACTAGAGAATTGTACTGTGAATCTGTTTGAAAAAGAGTAACGTATGGAGTTTCTTGCTCGTTCTTCTCCATAGGAATTAAAAGAGCACGGTCACGGAGCACGGTCTTGATACGCGCGGTTTATGTTGAGCCTAGTAATTATTTAAATATTCCCATTAGAAATAAAATGGTCTGGCTGGGGTAACGTTACTCTAGCAGGAAATGTTTCACTTTACCCCAGCAGCAACAAATATAAAAATGTTCGCACAATTACAGAAGCCGGAAAACTTATCGAAACTTATCATCTATAAGATTCAACTGACTATTTGCGACAACATCTGGCCTGGGTAACGCACACATTTTCCACAATTACTTCCATTATGGATATCAAACGTAAAAGCTTGATTGGTAGAATACTATATAATGAAACTACAGGTAGTTGGGTGCAGAGTGACGATTTTTATTCATTTAAACAAGTACACATAGTTCATACTAGATGGCACTAGTAGCACCTTTAATTATTATTTTGTTATCTATTTCAACAGAATAGAGGTTAATAGAACCGTTTAACGTAAAATATATTTGTATGTATTACTTCTTTCTCATTCCAGACGTCAATGGAGGCCCTCATCCACCACTTTAAGTTGTTCACGCAAGGCTACCAGGTGCCCCCAGGGTCCACCTACACTGCTGTAGAGGCTCCGAAGGGAGAGTTCGGGATCTATCTCGTATCTGACGGAGGATCCAAGCCTTACAGGTAATGAGACACCATTATTAAGGTAGCTTTTATGTTAATTTAAAAAGAAAATAACGTTTACCGTTACGCTACGATTTTCTCCTGTGTCGTGGATGCGTTTACAATACAAACATACAAGTTCACATATACATGACACCCAGACCCGGAACAACAATCTGTGGATCAGACGAAACGGCTGAAGGGATCGGGATGAAGCAACAGTCTGAAATTACACATAGCTTAGTTGTTATCCCACGCAAACGCGGGTGAAGTCGCGGGCAGAAGCTTATTGTCGAATAAAAAAGATGTGATTTTATATATTTTGTCCACAGATGCAAGATCAAGGCGCCTGGCTTCGCTCACCTGGCCGCTCTAGAGAAAGTCGGCAAAAACCACATGCTAGCAGACATCGTCGCAATTATCGGAACCCTTGACGTGGTCTTCGGAGAAGTCGACCGATAAACACCGATTTTTAGAACAAAAATACCGGTTCAAACCGATTTTCGTAAATATACCGGAATTAATAATGATTTGGTGCTAATTTCCGGTATATGTGATCATAATCTGTATTATTATTTTAATATTATATAACTGAGTATTTTTCGAAAATCGTCCATGTTTTGTTGATTTACAATTTTCAGTATTTTCTGTAAAAACGAATTTTAACTAAGAGTAACTTTAATAGTAAGATGTCGACGCAGATTCCATGTGCATTTATTTTTGTTTGTTTTTAAGCAATAATTTATTGTTAAATCATTTTGAACCTTATTTATTTGGATATACGTGTATTTTTAGATGGTCTTTGGGAAGCAATAAAGGAATTGTATTTTAGAACCGTTTTTAATTGCAAAAATCTTAATTTTTTGTAGTTTCATTTCAGTTTGGATGACGGCTCAATTATTAAAAAGTTACTTACATGATATAACTATTGAGTGAGACTTACTGAGTTAATTAATAATGATGAGTTACTATTGACGTAACTTATTTATTTATTTAAACTTGATGCACAAAGTGAACTTAATGCCGCAGGCATTTTCTCCCAATCTGACCTTTGGGTGATGCAGAGAAGAGTTAATGGTGTTAGCAAGAAGCAAGCAACTATTTAATAGAGCAAATAAAATAGATACACTTACATATTTCAGTGATAAACATAAATAAACATAACAATAATTTAATTGTTTCGTCAGGTTTAGTTTATTATACGGACCTTGTGGAATCTAGAACGAATTTCCGTGCGTTTAGGCGTTTTTGCCATACCTATTATTGGAAGCAAGTATAACAGCTCACACATAGGACCCACTTAGTTTTTAGTCAAATTTCCGTGGTGCTTGGCGACTGGGCTTCACCCAGTTGTACAGTCTCTTCTTTGTGCCTTTAGGCTTAATTCATTCTGTCTCCTGCAGTAATTCACCGAGGGAAGTGAAAACCATAGTTTTTCTTCTTCTCCTCTTATAATATCTTCTGATTCACTTCGTTGCGGGAACCAAGACAGTTACTCATGTCCCTGGGACACGCCGGACTTCAGTGTTCCGGTGTTTTCATGGTTGTATCTACTGTAGAGTACTTACTCTACAGTAGATGGTGCTTACAGGAGTTGCAGCGGTTTTGGGAGGTTGTGGCGGGCTTGTCCCATTTAAAAAAAAAAAAAAATAAACATAGTTATATTATACTAGCAGCCCGTCCCAGCTTCGCACAGGGTAGACAATTATTTATTTTTGGAAATTTGGATTGTTGTAGTGACATAACTACAATAGTTAGATATATGCTACCGCGGAGTTTTTGTAGACATTATGATGTTCTTCAATATTGTTGTACATTATTTTGTTCTATCGCTAATAGTTTCGGCAGCGCATTCGACGAAAGACATTTTAAGACTCATTTTTCTACACCTTCGGTTACATTGTTCAAATTTTACCAACGATCCCTAATTTTTTTCAAAATGATATGTAGGCTATCTCAAATTGGAAGAATGTAGCATTCTATTGGCGAAAGAATTTTTTAAATCGGCCCAGTACTTTTTGAGCCTATTCATTACAAACATACAAAAATAGGTACAAATCTTTCCTCTTTATAATATTAGTAGAGATACCTACATACGAGTGCAATACACTATACATACACACATTTATACATATATGTATACATACATAAATAAAGACTGTGAGTAATTAACGTGATGATTCAGCCAACCTTCCCAAGAGAAGCTCATGTATTTTCTGCTTAAATATCTCTGCTCTACTAATTTCAAGTCACATGGTAGTAGGCTGCGCGACATCGCCGCGACCGCGCACGCTGCTCATGAGGATCGAAACTAGTAGAGCTTTTATCAGTATATTTACGTGATGAATTCGTAATTTTTAGGTAATTTAGTTTTGTATCGTATCCTCCACGCCTTGTATCCTCGAAGGGAATAAAAACCACTTAATGCCACTGTAACACCCACTTTTCACTATTTATGTTATGAGTCCCATGTAATAGGGGGTGAACTTATTGCCATATACCGGGTACAATTCCAGACTCCGTGCTACTACTGAGAATTTTTTAAATACCCAGTAATACTTTTCTCGACTCGCGAATCGAACCCGAGACCCCATACCTAACAGTCGCACTTGCGACCACTCGGCCAACGAGGCGCTCCCATTTTTATATTTTTTTAATATTATTTTTTATTTTGTAAGTAGTATTTAAAGATGCAATTTTAGAGCATTTAAAATAAATACATGTCAACATTTATCCTTTACTAGCGACCCGCCCCGGCTTCGCACGGGTGCAATATGCATGTATTATACATATAACCTTCCTTAAGAATCACTCTATCTATTGAAAAAAACCGCATCAAAATCCGTTGCGTAGTTTTAAATATCTAAGCATACATGGGGACAGACAGACGGCGGATAGCGACTTTGTTTTATACTATGTAGTGATGACGTAAGCCCACGGGAAAATGTACAGGATAAATATTTTCTACATAAATAAATCGATATGACCCATCTTTGGCTGCAATTTGTAGTCATAACTCATAATATTACAGTTCAATACAAATCATCATCACATGTTTTCGGTGTAACTATCAAATAATATATTTGATTTGAAGTGAACAATAAAACCTAAATAGTTTAATAAATATGTGTCTATAAACTCAGAACTCGAGAACGCCTGCACATAATTCGAAAAACTTATTGTGGTTATCCGCGATAGACAAAATAAAAATAAACAGTGTTCGTCTGGGAATGATATCTGTTTGGAACTTATAATCTGATACATTTAATTTTTTTTCAATATTTAGAATGAAATTAATTGATACGGTTTTGGCTTTTTTTGGATTCACGGCAACTAGTAGTGGTATTCCGAACAATTCTGCTATCAAAAGCAGTGAGTATATCTTTACCTATTATAAAAGAACTTGTACGTGTGTGAAAGTGTATTTTTGTGTGTACGTTTGTTTTACAATCACGCCATAACGGCTAAAGACAGCATCATCATCATCATCAAGAGATGATGTTTGGAACAGAGGAAGATTATGGAATAACAGCTAAGTAGGCGACTTTTGACCCTTGGAAACGCGGGCGGAGCCACTGGCAGAAACTACTCACCAAATAAACCAATATGAGCCTTTAGTTACGTTAGTATGCCGAAAACATACATAAGTACATGCATAACCTCACGGCTGTCTCCCATAGGGGTAGGCGGAACCTAAGGAATGCCAATTGCAACGATTCTTACGTACATCTTTCGCTTCATACAGTCATCAGTCATTTCATGCCTTCTCGTTGGTTAAGCCGAAAACATAATTATTAATTTAGTAGATTAGATATAAAACAACCTATAAGCTATGTATTATTTTGGTTTTTTTATTGCAGAACAAATTTAAACTAATTCCTAAGAAGTTATGTACTAAATATGATAAGAATCCGCTTAACCATTTCTACGATCTAGCAAAACCAGAAACGTTACCCCAGCAAAATGGCGAATAACTTCGCAACCGATGAAAGAACAAAAACAAAATAAGGCACAACATTTATTTCATCTACACAACTAATTTTATAGCTAGTAATTACTTAAATATTCCCATTAGAAAGAAAAAGGTCTGGCTGGGGTAACGTTACCCCAGCAGGAAATGTCTTTCTGAAATAATTAAAAAACTGTAAGCGCAACAAATTTAAAAATGTGCGCAACTAATCAATACATAGTATAAAACAAAGTCGCTTTCGCTGTATGTCCGTATGTATGCTTAGATCTTTAAAACTACGCAACGGATTTTGATGCGGTTTTTTTTAATAGATAGAGTGATTCTTAAGGAAGGTTTGTATGTATAATACATGCATATTGCACCCGTGCGAAGCCGGGGCGGGTCGCTAGTTATCTATAAGATTCAAATGACCATTTTCAACAACACCTGGCTTGCGTAACGCAAACGACCGTCACAATCACAACTTCACAAGGCTTTATCACTAACTGCTTTTCAAATCTTTTCATACCATTTAGGTAGTCGTTTGTAATAAAAACATTAGTTTCAATAAAATTAGTGCATAATTACCTATGCTAAATAAAAATATACCAATGAATCATTCGGTCAAATGAATAATTTTACGAAATGACTTTATTGCAATTAAAATTCGATGAAGTGAATTTCGACGAAACATTGTTCGACCATACAAGGGTGGACCGCAGGTCAGCAATGGCCACTTATAGGCTAACAATGAATGTGTACCTACATAACTAAAAATGTTGCAATGTCTGTAAGAGGCCGCTAAGTATTAAGCACTGTAATAATTTTATAACCATCATCTGTACACTTAGTTGCAATAAACGCTTTGACTTTGACTTTGAACAATGTGATGTTAAGATGATGAAATACTCGACTTAATTGGGATGATACAGGGTATGGATATTAAATATATAATTAGTCCTTAAGTTAGGTACCTAATGAAAAAATATTAGACACATATTTTTTTATTTTGTTGTTTAATAAAACAATACTTATATAATTTTAATCTTAAGTTGTATATATTTAATTCAGTAATAGTTAGTCTTAATTTTATATAAGTTTTTATTTGAGTAATAGTTAGTTTTAATTTTATTTAAGTTTTTATTTGATCTATACCTATACTTAGATAAAACGAATGAAATTTTAGGAGTGGGGCTAAAACGTCATTTCTACGTATAAAATGTACATAGAAGTGACGTCACGCGACATTTCAAATCAATATATCGTCGTAAGTATTCGTTTCTGTAAGAAAATAAAAAATACGAGTCTAATGATTTATAATAATCTACCAGACGGACATTAAAATAAAAATTAGGCATCTACCCTATGATTAGCTATAATTCTGTTTCATTCCAGCTGATGCGACGGAGATTCGTAAGATTATCCTTTCCATTAAATCAAAAGCTGTGGGTTGTGACTCCTTATCCCGAGATATGATCACATATATCCTAGACCACGTGCTGTCACCGATTACTCATATTATCAATTTCTCCATCTTCTCCGGTGTATTTCCAGCAGTTTGGCGTAAAGCTTTTGTTCGACCCTTACCTAAGGTTAGTACTCCCACTCTGCCGACCCACTTCCGTCCTATCTCAATCCTTCCCTTCCTATCTAAGGTGCTGGAGGCTTGTGTCCATAAACAATTGTCTCACTTTGTTTACAATCATAGCTTAATAAGCCCGTTGAAATCTGGGTTTCGACCTGGTCACAGGTCACAGCACTATAACTTCCCTCCTTAAAGTGACTGGCGATGTTAGGGCTGGTATGGAGGATACCAAAGTAACACTTTTGGTATTGGTTGATTTTTCTAACGCGTTTAATATGGTCAGTCACGATATCCTTTTGGCAATCCTATCCCATCTTGCGATCTCTGGCAAATCACTGGAATTGTTCTCTTCATACCTTCGGGAGCGTCAGCAGTCTGTCCAGTATGATGAGAAGTTCTCTGACTGGTGTGACTTGACGGCAGGCGTTCCTCAGGGCGGCATTCTTTCTCCACTTCTTTTCTCTATTTTTATCAACCTTATCACTCCTGAACTTCAGTGTGCGTACCATTTGTATGCGGACGACTTGCAGCTGTACCGTCAATCTGGGGTGGACGATCTGCCCAGTGCTATCAGTAAACTTAATAGTGATCTAACAGCTGTTCAAAATTGGTCGGAGAGGTTTGTCATAGCTGTAAACCCAAACAAGTGCCAGGCCATCATCATAGGTAGCTCTCGGAATCTTGGATCGATTGACGGTGTAGCACTGCCCCCTATCTCGTATAATGGTGTGACTGTCCCGTTCAGTCGAGACGTGAAGGATTTGGGCCTGATTATTGATAGCACATTGAGCTGGCGTGCTCAGGTCGCAAGTGTTTGCCAAAGGGTGACTGGATCGTTGCGGGCTCTGTATCGTCTGAGGAACTTTCTTCCGTCCTCTGTGAAGACGCAGCTTGTGCAGACCTTGATTTTCCCGATTATTGATTACGCTGATGTCTGTTACTACGACCTGAATGCAGACCTACTCAACAAGTTAGACCGACTTCGAAATAACTGCATTCGATTCGTTTTCAACTTACGTAAATATGATCATATTTCTGCACATAGGATGCAACTGAAGTGGCTGCCCATACGCTTGCGCAGGCAGCAGAGGGCACTAAGCACTTTATTTTCTTAACTTGAATCTCCTTCTTCACCTACTTACCTTGCTGCCGCAAGCCACACAAAATTTCTTCGTTCGTCTCAAAATCGACATCTTCAATGTATCTCTCATCGCACTGAATTCTTTCATTCTTCCTTTTTCATTCAAGCTGTTATTCTGTGGAATGCGTTGCCCAAGGAGATCAGAATGGCAACAAGTCGCATTTGCAGACTCAAAACAATTGAAGAAACTATTCTGACAACGTTTTCTTTTTTTATATAATATATTGTAGTATTTATGCAGTAGGTATAAGTATTTGTTTAGTAGTATATATTGTATGGTATGTATATGTCTATACAGACTTATAAAATATTGTATTAATATATTTATTCTATAGGTATTTATGTGTGTAGTGTACATATTACATAACTTTTTTTTATTTTTTCAATTGTGTTCTGGCTTCGCATCAACCGCTTCATTTCTCTGCACTTCCCTATGGCTGACTGTCAGAGAATGCCTTAAGGCATTAAGTATGCCATTCACTGTTGTATTTTGTGAAGAAAATAAATAAATAAATAATATTACGTACGCACGGCCACACATCAATCTATACAAAACCAGTTTATCCTGGTGTCGCGTCGCATCATCTTTCCGCACATTTAACGTTCAGTTTCTACCTACTGGTTATGTAAAGCTCGATGTGTAGCCATAAGTACAAGCTTCATACATTATTTCAGGTTTTATAGTTGGCTACAACAAGCCGTATAATTTTACGTACAACGCGCAAAATGAGCTAAATATGACGATTAACTTCATTAATTATCCACCAAACGTCACTGAGCTGAGTTACGAATTCCAATCAGGTTTGTTATTATTCATATTTTCTAAACTAACACCTAAGGTAGGAGACCGGTGCTTACTCTTGAATCCAATTCCGATCGATCGACATTGATATTGGGAAATTTCGTACTCTTGAGTTGCAACACTGGCGCCCATTGCATTCATATTGCGTGGATATTGAATGAACTAAACGGTATTGAGTTCAGCTTTATATTCCGTACTCTAAGCGTACTCTGAATGGTATTGTAACAGATACGACAGGGGTTGTATAGTTTTGACATTGAATAATTATTGAGATTTTATTGGATTAAAATTGCATTGACATTGAGATTGGTTTCAAGAGTTAGCACACTGTTCGGTTATTCTGTTACTTTTTTTTCTGGGATAAGCCGATAAAAACTAGTCGACGAATCATCTGATGGTAAGCAATCGGTGCCGCCCTTGTACCATTGGACACCTGGAACACCTGGTAGATAGGCCCAGATGGAATAAAAGAGTGGACTGTATTTCTTGGTTTAATAGGTTTTCTTGAGTAGGCTATTAGTACAAGTTAACTTCGCAATCCCGTCCGTTCTTGCTCGCGTTGTCGTCAGGTGTGTATGGGGGGCGCGCGAGCCGTCGCTGCCCCGCCACGCCGCCCGCTCCCCTCTGCTTGAGATGCATGCATGTGTGTCTGCATGTGCGTGCGTGTTAACGTGTGCGTTAACATATTCCCGGGCGACCAAGGAAAGGCCAGCCCAGGTGATGATGATGTATGATATTATCAGTCCGATGGTACATCCAGTAATGGGCATATTTTATGAAAGGCACGTCTGATTGTCCCGGTCTTTACTTTGATGTCCGCCACTCGAGCTTCTCCGTCATGTCCCGGATACAGCTTCACGATACGTCCCAATGGCCACTGAGCCACCGGTAGCGCCTCATCTTTCACGATGACCAATGAGCCCTCTGTGAGCGCGCCGCGTGAGCGTTGCCAGCGCGTTCGTTGATGCAACTGAGAAATGTATTCCTTATTAAAGCGTCTCCAAAAATGTTGGCGTAGAAGTTCGATTCGGTGATGACGCGGCAGCCGTGCCGTGTCGCAGTCGGACATCTGTGGATGAGGTAGAACAGTTAGAGTACGACCAATTAGAAAATGAAAGGGAGTGAGAGCGGAGAGATCATTTGGATCGGATGAAAGAGGTGTGAGAGGCCTTGAGTTGAGGATGCCTTCTATTTGAACTAGCAACGTGTACATTTCTTCATATGTGAGGTGTGCCATCCCTAGTACTCTTTTGAGATGATGTTTTACTGATTTAACGGTGCTTTCCCATAGGCCCCCGAAGTGGGGTGAATATGGAGGAATGAAATGAAAGTTTACACCTTGTTCTGCAGCGCAACTGTAAATTGACTCACCGTGATTTCTAAGAAAGTTGGTCACCATACGAGCGGCACCTACCAGATTTTTTCCATTGTCTGAATAAATATTATTTGGTTTACCTCTGCGAGAAATAAACCTGTTAATTGCCGCTATGTAAGACTCTGTCGTTAGATCTGTAACCAATTCCAAATGCACAGCTTTCACGGCAAAACAGATGAAAATGCAGATGTATGATTTAACAAGTACACTTCCACGCCCCTTACGGTTGTTGATCATAATTGGCCCCGCGTAGTCGACACCTACGTCACTGAATACAAAATTTGCATGCAATCTCTGTTCAGGTAATTGCCCCATGATAGGTGTTACAGTTTTACCTTTAAACCGTTTGCATGTAACACATGATTGTGTAGTTTTTCTAGCCAAGTTTCTACCGGAAATTGGCCAGAATGTTTGACGTATGTGAGACAATAACAATTGTGGGCCAGCATGTAGAAGTGTAATGTGATATGTTGAGAATATGATTTGAGTTATGTAATGAGCTGAATGCAATAGGATAGGAAATTTTCTATCGTAATTGTATGGCGATTGAGCTAACCTTCCGCCCACACGAATGAGGTTATCATCCCCTATGAAAGGATTAAGTGAATTTAACTTATGTGATGTAGGTAATTGTTTGTTATGTAATAATAATTGATATTCCTCAAAAAATAAATCTAGTTGCACTAACTTCGCTAATTGGTATCTAGCTGAATTAAGTTCGCTAGTAGATAAGGGCATGACGTCACCTATGCGCATCTGTTGACGTTTTTTAATGTTGATTTGATTTAATTTTGATTGTTTGTGTTTGCAGTAATGAATGAACCGAAGAATGTAAGCTACGATTCGTGTAAGTTTGTTAAAATTAGAATATTTGTAAATGAATGAATTGTTATCAGTTACATGTTTGTGCGTGAGATGTGTTTGAGACCGGACTTCTGGAAGGTCAGATACGCTGAGATGCCCTGGTTGATGAGGCCAGCTGTGTTTATCATCATTCCTTAAAAAGTCAGGTCCTGAAAACCATAAAGGTGTATGGAGTAATTGTTGTGCATTGGTACATTTAGTAATAATGTCAGCTGGGTTTTGTTTAGTTGGTACATAGTACCATGTCTGTGGTTCAGTATGTTTGAGAATGTCCGTGACTTTGTGTTTTACGAATGTTTGTAATTTATGTGTAGGTGAGTTTATCCAAGACAAAACAATCATTGAGTCACTCCAATAATAACACTTACAATTTTTGTTGCGAACGGAGTTCAATATCTTATTACTTAAATTAACACCGGTAAACGCGGCACATAATTCAAGTCGCGGTATGGTAAGTGCTTTTAAAGGAGCCACCCGTCCCTTGGCAACTAACAGTTGAACACTGATACTGCCATCTGATGTATAAGTACGTATATATGCGCATGCACCGTATGCCTGTTGTGAGGCGTCGCAAAAAATATGCAGTTCAATGTAATCGCGCGATGAGTCATTAAATGCTCGCCGAGGAATAGATAAATGATTTATAAAAGATAACGATTCTACGAACTTTGCCCATTGTTGTTGTATTGAAACCGGTATTTCATCGTCCCAGCTGACGTTGTGTGTCCACATCTGTTGCATAATTAGCTTAGCTTCGAGTATGCAAGGGCTAATAAGTCCCAGTGGGTCGAAAATATGACCTATGGTGGATAAGATTGTGCGTTTTGTGATTTGTTTTTGTGATACAAATTCTGAATGTACTGTGTATGAAATTGTGTCTTTGTTAATGTTCCAATAAATGCCTAGTGTTTTAGATGGATCATTTGAGCTCAGATTGAATGTTGTGTCTTTTGAATCATTGAAACCCAGATGTTGTAGAACAGTTTGACAATTAGACTGCCATTTTCTTAGTGGAAATTGATATTTTTTTAATTCAAGAAATACACCTTTGGCGATTTCAAAGAGTAATGACTCATCATCGGTTCCTGTCAAAAGATCATCACAATAAAAATCATGCAAGATGACCTCGGAGACAATTTTGTGATCATAGCTGTCTGAATGATTCTGTGTGTTTTTACAATCTAAGCCTATTTGTTTTATGCAGCGTGTTGCTAAATACGGCGCCGATGCCGTGCCATATGTGACAGTGTTGAGCGTATATGTTTGCAGAGGTTCCGTAGGATTGTATCGCCATATGATTTGTTGTGTTGGGCGCTGATGCTCCATCAGCATCACCTGGCGAAACATTTTCTCAATATCTGATGATATTATAAACTTATGTTGTCGAAATCGTATGAGTATAGAAACAAGATCGTCTTGGACGACAGGTCCTACTAACTGAATGTCGTTGAGTGATAGTTTTGAGGATGTCTTTGCGGAACCATCAAATACTACTCTGAATTTTGTAGTGGTGCTGGTCTCGCGTACAATACCGTGATGTGGAAGGTAGTATACTGGTGAGTGCTGTGTGTTTGTGTTCGTGCTTGTACCTGACTGTAGGTTTGATGTTTTATGTTCTGATTTAATGTATGTATTTTGATGTGAGTGTTTGTTTAAAGACATGTGACCTAGCTGTATGTACTCTGTTATGAAGTTTGAGTACTGTTGTTTGTATGTGGGATTTGAATTCATGCGGTTTTCTATGGAATAAAACCGTCTTTTTGCTTGAAAATAGGAGTCACCTAAACAATCAGGTGACTTTTTAAATGGAATAGTGACAACGAATCTACCATCACTTTGTCTTGTAGTTGTTTGAGTGAAAATTATCTCGCATGCATCTGAGTCGGAAGGATCGTCTACTTGTGTATTAGTTAAACTATCTAGCTCCCAGAAGCGTGATAACTGATCTGAGTTGTTGTTATTGAAAAAACAACTGTTTGCTTGCTTGTTGGTGTTTGTTGTGCAACCTGAAACTAGCCAGCCTAATTCTGTTTCTTGTAAAGTAGGCTGGTTTTTGCCTAATCGAATGTGACCGCTGCTAATTATTTGCCAAAATATGTCTGCACCTAGCAATATGTCAACTGCTGCGGGTTCATAGAACTGAGGGTCGGCTAGTTTTAAATGTTTAGGTATGTTCAAACCTTGTGTATTGATGCGCATGTAAGGTAATGACTGTGCTATTGTATCAAGTACCAAACATGATAAGTTAGTTGTGAATGAACCATGTAATGATTTTATCTGAATTTTTGTGCGATAAAAAATGTTTGTTTGCTGCTGATTTATGCCTGAAACTGTGCCGTGTATGGGTTCGAATGTAAGATTAAGCTTTTTACTCAGACTGTTTGTAATGTAACAGGAGGTACTTCCACTGTCCAGCAAAACCCTGGCTAAGTGTGGTGTTCCATCACCAGCGATGACATGCACTAAGGCAGTGGAAAGTAATACTGATGCGTGTTGTGATTGTGAGCTACTGTTACTAGCGAGTGTGGTGTGCACAGTGTCTTTGGTCGGTCCCTTATGTATGTGTAGCATTGTGTTGTGTTTCTGTTGACAATATTTACATGCTCCTCCACGGCATGACTTTGTTTCATGACCGTTATGCAAACAGTTAGCACAGAAGTTGGAAAACTTGGAAACTTTCTCTATTCTCTTTTCCACGGTCATTTGTTTGAATTGTGAACAACCGAATAGAAAATGATGACCTTTACATAGGGGACAAGAAATGCGAGATTGTTTATCTTTAGCATCTGATTTTAATGAATGCGATTTTGAATCGGTTTGTTGTGTGGTTTTTGTGTCTTCGAGATTTTGTAAAAGCATGAAACGATTACTGAGATATGTCTTTAGATTTTGAAGTGTGGGCTTTTCTACTGTGTCGTTATTGATTGATTCTTTCCAATATCTGAGTGTTGTGATATCTAATTTGGAGGTAATAAGATAAATCAACATTGAATCTACTGTGGGTTCGCCTAGTGTATTAAGAGCTCTGAGATTTTTATTTACTGTATCTAGTAAGTGTCTGAGTGATGTTGCTGATTCTTTTTCAATGATTTGAATGTTGAATAATGCGTGAAGATGATTGTATATCAGCTGATGTGTGTTATTATATCTTTCTGTGATCAGTTCCCAAGCTACCCTGTAATTGTTTGATGACATTTCTAACGATTTAATAACATCGGAAGCTTCACCTTGCAGAGATGCACGCAAATAATGAAACTTCTGAATACTATCTATTGATTTGTTGTTGTGTATCAGTGATTCAAAAGTGTCCCTGTATTCGAGCCAATTGTGATAATCTCCTGAGAAGTGTGGAAGGTCAATGGTGGGTAATTTAATAAATGCTTTGGTTGTGTTACCCTCACTTGGAGTTGGTACAGACCCGTCGACGCCAGCAGTTTCATTTTCTCGCAGCAGATGGATGCCGAGTGCAAGTTGAGATTGATAATCCATTTCAAATTGCTCCCGCTCCCTCAGCTGTTCATCTGAAACCCCAGTAATGTCGTCGATGAGGGTTTGATTTTTATCGAACTCGTTTGCGAGATACTTGTAGGACTCTAGTCGATTGCGTAATTGAATAATATCTAAATCAGACAATGGCTTTTTGGATGTTAATGACTCGAGATAATTTTTAAAAACCGTGACCTTGCCTTTATGACTGGATCTCCTCTTTTTGTATGTATTGAGGTGAGGAATGTCACATTCGTTGGGATTATTTAAAGTTTGAGCTGATTTAGGGTCAGTCATTATTACTGAAATTTGATAAAAGTAACGAACTTAAATTAAATGAATACTTAAATTTGATTGGGGGTGTGGCATGGACCGCGCGACGATCACGTAACCTTACCAGATTACCCTCAAAGAACGCGGCGTCAACTCGTTACGCTGAGAACAAGGTGATGTATGCTGTTGGGGAAAAATAAATGTATTAGAAAGCGATGCAATTATTAAAAGTAACAATTGATGATGGGATCAAACTTCTTTTTTAAAAAACAACTACAAGAAAATTGAGAAAAAAAGTGTAGGGTAGGTGAGAAAAAAATCTGATGCAATAATTGTGAAAAATTGAGTGTAAATATGGACTAATGATAGCTGAATTGATGTTTGGAATTGGGGATAGATGGCAATTAAGCAAGTTCACTGAATATTAGATGATTTTGAATGATTTTAAAGGAATGAATTGGTCGAACTCACGAAACCGCTGCTACCAAACCCTTTGTTCGTCCTTAGCGACTGATGATGTGGCCAGCACTGCTTGTTGCTGTGATGTAGCTCTGCTTCCAGATGCTGGTAGGTTGAATTCGTTGATGCGACGCCTTCTATTTGACCTCCAGCTGATTTCCGGCCGCTTTTGTGGTGGCGTGGCTTGCGATCGCGAGACGTTTTTGCTTTTAACTCGACTAATTACTTCGAAGGACCATAGATAGGCCCAGATGGAATAAAAGAGTGGACTGTATTTCTTGGTTTAATAGGTTTTCTTGAGTAGGCTATTAGTACAAGTTAACTTCGCAATCCCGTCCGTTCTTGCTCGCGTTGTCGTCAGGTGTGTATGGGGGGCGCGCGAGCCGTCGCTGCCCCGCCACGCCGCCCGCTCCCCTCTGCTTGAGATGCATGCATGTGTGTCTGCATGTGCGTGCGTGTTAACGTGTGCGTTAACACCTGGAAAGGCGTTAAAAGTGCGTTACCGGCCTTTTGGGGATTAGGAGTTTGAGGATTGTTACCTAGGGATTCAGGAATTGGGGAGATTGGGCAGGGGGGGGGGGATGATCGCAACAAAATCTAACGCAAGTGTCACGTCGGTTTTCTGTAAGCCGACCCATTCGTGAGGAAGCATGGCTCTCCCACAGTTATTATTATTATACTCGGAATTTTAATTCGATTCCAGATTTGATAATTTCAGTGTTGCAACGTTATGACAAGTACTAGAGGTAAATAGTGACGTTGCGAAATTATTCGATATGGAAATGCAATATTTCTGGATCGATTCTTCTCGTTTATAATTTTACTCTCGTAAACTAAGTATATCAGGAAATTAAATATTTCTGAACCGATAATTTAGTTTTGACGATTAATTAACGATCTGAGACTTTTCTTTTATAATTGTGTGAGTAATAAATAAAAAAATGTAATCATGAAGAAACTTGTCAAATAAAACAGATAGATGTATTATGGTAATAAGTTATTTTATAAATTGTCGCCGTCATCACTATCGCTATCCTGTCACTTTCTGTAACATTTATTATAAAACACACACACTGATTATTTATCGATTTTTGTGTGCAATACTACACTATTATATGTGGTATCATTATTTCACAAAATGACAGTAGCTATTGTCAAATCTGGAATCTCATTAAAATTCTGACTATAGTATGTATGCTCATTTCGGGCAAGCTGGCGTTCGATTTTTGAACATGCTTAATATAACGCTTGCTATTTTATTTATAAGTATGTTTAATTACTGCCTCGTTAGCCGAGTGGTCGCAAGTGCGACTGCAGCAAGCGGACTCGGGTTCGATTCCCGGGTCGGGCAAAGTATTACTGGTTTTTTTTTAAATTCTCAGTAGTAGCACGGAGTCTGGAATTGTGCCCGGTATAGGGCAAACCCACTATTACATGGGAATCATAACATAAATAGTGAAAAGTGGGTGTTACATTGTACAGTGGCATAATGTGCACCTCTGCCTAATAAATGGCGGGGATAAAAGGCGTGATAGATTGTTTAATTATTTTCAGGTTTTGTACCGGACAAGAATACAATTGATTTAAAAAAACCGTCAATACATATCCAAACTCGTTTAATGCAGCTCACAGCATCAGTGTCCGTCGACTTGAGGACTTTAAGCGGAAGTTGCAGTTTTATGGTTGCAAAAGGAAAGGATATTTCTACCATATTAAATAGACCATGGACCAGGTCGTCATCAAGTAAGTATTTGCTATATTATTATAAATATACACTTCCTCGATCAATGCACTATCCTACACAAAAATAATAATTAAATTCGAGTGGGTGGACGGTGGGAGTACATCCTGTAGGTACCTACTGACACATAGTTTGAAATTTTTGCAGAACCCTGCACTTGTTGCAGTCCGAACTGGTGTATACTCACGGTGGATTTCTCCAAAGGATTTACAAGTAATTAATTATTTTCGCTTAAATATGGGGTAACAAGTGGGTGGTAGTAATCTCCAAGCATGGCAGTCAGGTTGGAGAGTGCAGTGTAAAAGGTTCAGGTTTGTTGGAGAGCGCTCCTATCTATAGATCCTATCTTCCTATACGGTTTATGTTAAAGCAGTTCCTTCATCAACAGCCTATAAATGCCCACTGCTAAGCAAAGCCTCTTCTCACACGGAGCGTTAATCACCACGCTTGCTCATTGCGGGTTGGCGATTTCAAACTTATAATTAGAAATATAAGTCCAGGTTTCCTCACGATGTTTTTCCTTCACCGTTTGTCAGTGGTGTCTAAATAATCTTAGAAAGTACATATAACTCGGAAAAAGTCACATTGGTACTTGCCGTTGGTAGGTTTCGAACCCGCACCCTCATGCATAAGAAGTGGGCGTCTTACACCTCCGGGCCACCAGTTCCTTAGTCGGGTCATAGTCACAGGAAGAGGTGGGGACAATTGACAAAATGGTTCCTTGTCTTCCGTTCCAACATGGTTAAAACCTAACAACCTACACTTGGGTGCAAAAATTGAACCACTCCCGTTTTCCTTCACTTTTTTAATAAATATTTTCTGACACAAGCCTTTTTTATGGGATGAGCCGGTAAACAGCGCTGCAGAATAACACGTTATTAATAATTAAAGTTAGATACAGTTTGTAAATCAAATTATCCTTATTTTTAGATACTAATATCCTCGTAGGTACCAATAATAGAGGTAGAGGTAAATATCATTATCCCCGATAAGTTGACATTTCAAAAGTATCACATTATCAGACATTAAGGTTATATAATTTTGATTTTAAGATACTTTTTCTTTATGGGATACTAGAATATATACCTCTATATAGATATATAGATAAAATTTATAGATACTTCTTTATGGTAAACGAGCTGACGAATCACCTGATGGTAAGCAATCGGCGTCGCCCATCGACACCTGAAACACCAGAGGCGTTACCGGCCTTTGGGAATTGGGAATTTGAGGATTGTGGGGGATTTGTAGATTGCGGTGACTGACGAGAGGGGTTAATTAGGCCTCCGTTAACCTTACTTACACGATGAAACACGCAAGTGTTGTTTCACGTTCGTTTTCTGTAAGGCCGGGGAATCGCTCCGGTCGCGCCGGCCCATTCGTGCCGAAGCATGGCTCTCCCAAACTTAAAGTATTAGATTAATAATTTGGTCACGTATGTCGTATATAACGCAAATTGGTTACCCATTGAAATAAAAACACTTTTAAAGTTATTGAGCGTTTGATAAAATTAAAAAACGCAAATGGTTCCGTTTCTTTTGCGTCCAAGTGTAGTTACAAATATTAATTTTGCATTAACTTTAGGTCCGTGGGGCCCAAGTGCACATCTTCTTTACAAAGATATTGTAAGGAGGATGGTTGACACTTCAGGTGATCGAAGGGCTGGCTTCTACCTTGGACAAAGGTTAATCATTGCCATTCAACGTAGCAATGCTGCCAGTCTTTTGGGCACCCTACCTCACGATAATGATGAGGAAAAATTTTTTTATGCCTTATTATAGCTTATTTATTTATTTTTTTTTAAGGTGTAAATATTTTAGTTCTTAGTTATTTATATTTTAAGTTATATATATTTTCGTTTAGTAATATTTTGCATTGCAGATGTATTTAAAAAGACGTACGCTTCAGTAACTAAGCAGAAAGCAAAGCATCGAGTACAATTGTTGCCAACAATACCTAACAGTCGGTATTTAATGCAAAGTTTTTAACACAGCTTTACTTACCATTATCTTTATGTAGTAGAAGTTTTTGAGCCGACGTTTGACCACTATCTCGCCTGGTGGTAAGCGATAATGCGGTCTACGATGGAGCACGTCGTCCCATAAGCAACCTATTCACTCGGGCCTTGAAGACACCCAGGTTATACCCTTCAGGAAATATACTTATTACTTAGTAAAAAACGTAATGCAAAGTCAGTAAGTACATCATAAACATCGTCTTATTGCTCACCAGATGGAGCTAACACCATCTCGTATATTTGTCCAATAGGGAATGCGCTAGTGTCACAGTATTGGTCATTTAATTTCTGACAGCTACAGTGATTGCACAAAAAGCTTTCTGTTACATCAGTGTTCGAAAACTCGTATCCCCCCTAGCACGCCATGACAAGCCCGCCACAACCTCCCAAAACCATTGCAACTCCTGTAAGCCAGGATCTACAGTACCTAGATACAACTGTAGCGACACTAACGTGTTGACATTTTTTATGTGTTCTCAAGTGCGTAGCTGCGCCTGCGACCCTATAGCGTTAGCACGCCAGTCGTCTCCCAGCTTTGGTGTTAACCAGTAATATTTTGTAATATTATAGATTAGTTGTGAATTGTGTATTTCTTAGAACAATATAAACACAAAGTTTTACCTATTTTATTTTGGACTTTCATTGAACACACGAACTATTCTGGAGTCAAGTGAATTTAAATAAGAATACACACCAACATTCTAAACAACCATGAAAACACCGGAACACTGAAGTCCAACGTCCCAGGGACATCAATAACTGTCTTGGTTCCCGCAACGAAGTGAATCAGAAGATATTAAGTATAAGAGGAGAAGAAAAAAACGATAGTTTCCACTTCTCTCGGTGAATTATTGCAGGAGACAGAATGAATTAGTGTAATGGCACAAAAAATAGACTTTACAACTGGGTGAAGCCCAGCACGCCATGAGTAGCTCATAGGTGCATACAAATTTCTATTGTTAATACTTAATAGGTTATTATCTATTAATTACAGACACATGCCGCAAATCACATGCCTCTACGACAACGCGCACTGTCATAAATTTTACAAAATATACCCCGGTTACCACTCCAGCACCGATTACTGAAGATCCAAGTAGTAAGTACTTCATGGCATCAATACATAGTATAAAACAAAGTCGCTTTCGCTGTATGTCCGTATGTTAGCTATCTATAAAACTACACAACAGATATTGATGTGGTTCTGTAACTGCAGAACCATTGAACGAAATTTAATAGTCTTTAGAAATTGCTATCAATACATAGTATAAAACAAAGTCGCTTTCGCTGTATGTCCGTATGTATGCTTAGATCTTTAAAACTACGCAACGGATTTTGATGCGGTTTTTTTTAATAGATAGAGTGATTCTTAAGGAAGGTTTGTATGTATATACATATTGCACCCGTGCGAAGCCGGGGCGGGTCGCTAGTGGTAAATATAAAAAAAAAATTAAAAACAGTTATAATTTAATACATTGTTATTGTTGACACACAATACGCTAAATTTAAACTAATATTAATATTATAAATATAAATGACTGCCTCGTTGGCCGACTGGTCGCAAGTGCGACTGCCGGGCAAGGGGTTTTGGGTTCGATTCCCGGGTCGGGCAAAGTAATACTGGGTTTTAAAAAAAATCTTAGTAGTAGCACGGAGTGAATTGTGCCCGGTATATGACAATAGGCTCACCCCCTATTATAACTTATAACATAAATAGTGAAAAGTGGGTGTTACATTGTACAGTAGCATTAAGTGCCGTAATGTGCACCTCTTCCTACCCTTTCGGGTCGTGATGTCGTGATGTTATAAACTAAAAACTAAAATATTAACACCTTAAAAAAATAATACGCAATAAAAATGTCAGCGTAACCCATCAAAAAAATATACTAAACATATCATTGTCATGAGTTCTAATGTCAAAATACTCATCTGGCGGATTTCTCCTCACTCCCATCGTCACCTGGTGGCGCTAGTATCGAATTCAAACTCACAAGCTCACCGCGGATTCAGAAGTTACTTTGCAAAATTAACTTTCAGAATAGCACGGCTAGCCTGTCTGTGTTATTGGAGACTATACATAGGTATTTATGTTATTCTGTATTTATGTCAAATATTTGTCTGGATACAGTTTGTAAATGAAATTATCCTTATTATTACATACTAATATACTCGCAGGAACCAATAATAAATTCATAATAGAAAATAATTAATTTTATTGAGGGAACATCTCTATTTATGTCATTTATCATATCATAATCATATTCATAAGCCGGTAAACGAGCCGACGAACCATTTAATGTTAGCAATCGGCGTCACTCATGGACACCTGGATGGAAGGAGAGGCGTTACAAGTGCGTTACCGGCCATTTAGGGATTAGGCTTTTGAGGATTGTTGTTGATTCAGAGATTGGGGAAGGGAGGGGTAATTGGGCTTTCGGTAACCTAGCTCACAACGCAAGCGTTGTTTCACGTCGGTTTTCTGTGAGGCCGTGGTATCACTCCCTTTCGTGCCGAAGCATAGTCCTCCCACACTTACCCTGACCAAGATCAGCTTATTCTGTAAGTAAATGTCAACTTTCGAAGTGAGCTTGGTCGCCTTCTCGCTTGTTATTGTACGATATTATTTTCACAACGGATGATATTGCAGACAGCAATCGATTTCATTTCGATCTTTCGAATTGAAACTTAAAGAATAGCGTAATAGGAATGGGTAGGTACCATCTATCTTCCACTATCCTTAAACCATCTCTTAACTAAGAACTACTTACTTCCAAACGACCAAGAGAAACATTTACCTCTAAGGTGACACTAAAATGTCGTCTATCCAACTTAAGGAATTAATCATCACGCCTTTACCCCTGAAGGGGTAGGCAGAGGTGCACATTACGGCACTTAATGCCACTGTACAACGTAACACCCACTTATCACTATTTAAGTTATGAGTCCCATGTAATAGGGGGCGAGCCTATTGCCATATACCGGGCACAATTCCAGACTCCGCCATTAGTAGCAACTAATGAGAATTTTTAAAAACCCAATAATTCTTTACCTACCCGACCACTCGCCCAACGAGGCAGTTTGAGCTTAAATAGGGGTTCCTTAAATTGTAAGCGAGTTAGGTAGAATCGGCTATTAAATTCGAAAATCACTACATAGTATATGTTAAACAAACTTGCTATCCGCCGTCTATCTGTCCTTATGTATGTATGCTTGCTTAGACCTTTAAAACTACGCAACGGATATTGATGCGGTTTTTTTTTAATAGATAGAGTGATTCTTAAGGAAGGTTTATATGTATAATATATGTATATTGCACCCGGGCGAAGCCGGGGCGGGTCGCTAGTATATAATATAATTTTTGTTCCTTTCAGAGAATTTTTATGAGACTCCTGAAGCCGTGGTTTCCATAGAACACATTTTCCTGTACTATGTTCTGCCAGCCTCAATATGTGTAGTGTTGGTCAGCGTGGTTGCATGTCTGTGGTTGCGTATAAAGAAACACAGGCGGACGTGCTCTGCAGATCTGATTACCACTAATGTGAGTAATTCATCTATTAGCATTACTTTAGACTTATTTGGGTTCTGAACAACATGGCTTTAGGACTGGGAAGTCTGTGGAACCTGCTCACCCTTGTGGACTACATATCTTCCAGACTGGATAATCGATACCAAGTAAATATTCTGTATTTTGATTATAGGAAAGCATTCGATATCTACAGTGAACAATGACATTTTATTGTCAAAACTTAGTCGTTTGGGATTTTCCCCAAAACTCCTGAGGTTTTTTGCTGACTACCTCCGTGATCGTCAACAATTCGTTAGATTGGGCGTCTACAATTCTAATCCGTACCATACGCGCTCTGGAGTTCGTCAGGCATCAATCTTCGGACCCCTGCTGTTTTTGCTCATGATAAATGATCTTCCCTTAGTGCTCAAACATTCCAAATGTCTCCTGTACGCCGACGACTTAAAAATATTAGCTGTAATTAAATCTTAATCAGATTGTATGGCTCTTCAGGATGACATTGACGCGATATCTTAATGGGGTAGAGAAAATAAAATGGAATTCAATCTGAGCATGTGTGGATTGGTGACGTTTGGTCGAATCTTATTAACACTGATTAGAAACTAGGCGATACGTCCAAGCGCAAGGTGGACAGATGACCTCATTAAGGTCGCAGGGAACCGTTGGATGCAGGTCGCTTACAACCGCCTATCTGGAAGTCATTGGGGGAGGCCTACGTTCAGCAGTGGACGTCCTGTGGCTGATAGATGATGATGATGAAACCTCATCCTTGGCAGCTGCATTGTCATTCTCAACCACTCGAATCAACCGACAAGGCATTTTTTTTTTCATTTTCAGACTACAGGGAACGAAGTATTATATGCTGACCTAGAATTAAAAGGAACGAATAATTTCCAGCGAAGATGTAACGAGGAATCTCCATACGCTCAAATACAAGTATCACAATAGGGATGATGACAGGGTATGAACATTAAAAATCTAATTAGTCCGTCAGTTAGGTAATGAAAAAATATTAGACACGTATTTCATATACGAAATTTTGTTGTATATGAAAATATTACTTAGATAAAACGAATCAAAGTTTAGGAGTGGGAGTAAATACGTCATTTCTCACGTCACGTATAAAATGAAACGTCTCTAGAAGTGACGTCACGCGACATTTCAAATCAAATATCGTCGAAAATATTTGTATGTGTAAGGAAATAAAAAATACGTATCTAATGTTTTAAAACAATCTACCAGACGGACATTAAAATAAAAATTAGTCATCTACCCTATAGACATGAGAAGCGTATATTTATTTTCATATATAACACACTTTAATAAGACGAACTGTGTAACAAAATCTAAGAATCAGAATTACCCACACTTCTAACTGTCGTATCATCATGGAACTTGGCAATTGTATGCAGATTAGATGACAATACAATATTATGGTGCCATCGAGCTGGTTTGATGATGGAATTGGAAGGTGGCTGATGGAACCTTGGACTGTCTACAAGTAAACTTATCGAGTTTGGTCTCATTAGATATATTAATTTGTCCTGATGATGAGAACAAATATTTTAAGATTTTCTTCTACTTTTTTAAGCTGTAAACAAAATAATTTTAAATAAGAATTGTACTATCCTAGGTTAAGATGTATATTATCCAGTTCACTGAAGTTATGAATGAAATAAAACAAATTCAAACCATATACTTGTACAATTATTTAATTCATTAACAAACTATTTGTTAAGTTAAAATTATCTAGATGTTAACAGTGTTGACACGAAACCTCGAGTTCGACAAGTCACTCAAGTATTATATTTTCCAAAACTTTCAACAATATGAGGATTGTTGGGGATTCAGTTATGGGGACATCGGGGAAGGGGGGAGTATTGGTCCTCCGGTAACCTCACTCACTTGACGAAAGATTTTTTGAAAATGTGCCCATCTACCATCAAAATTCCTTGCCAGGGTCTGTGTTTCTTGAAGGGTATACCTGGGTGTCTTCAAGGCCCAAATGAATAGGTTGCTTATGTAGACGTGGTCCATCGTAAGACGCATCATTGATTACCACCAGGCGAGATAGTGAACAAACATAGACCCAGCTACATAATCATAACATAACATCACGCCTTTTTAAGGGGTAGGCAGAGGTGCACATTACGGCACTTAATGCCACTGTACAAT